GGAAGGAAGGAAGGAAGGAAGGAAGGAAGGAAGGAAGGAAGGAAGGAGAAAAGGAAGGAAGGAAGAGAAAAGGAGAGAAAGAAGGAAAAAGAGAGGGAGAGAGAAAGAGAAAGAGAAAAAGAGAAAGGGAAAGAAAGAAAGAAAGAAAGAATATGACATATTCTTAAGATGTCATGAGTTTACAGCTGAAATTATAACTCATCAATTATCTGACCTATATTCCAGAGAGAAAATGCATGGTATGAGAGCAACCACTTGTGAGCACTCAGATCCCCAGATTCACCTTACTGTCTCCCTCTACACAAAGGGTGGAGGTAAAGTTGAAGAAATGCCATTAGATGAGCATGCTAGACCCAGAGCCACTCATTCAGGTCATGAAAACAACAACAAGGGAAACTAAATAAACAAAAACCTGCTATGTCATCTGGTAACGAGGGGCCTTGAATACATACCCTCAGAGACTTGAATCATTAAGCTTTCCCTTCTTAGCTCAGCAGATGGAACCCTGGCCCTGGCACAATCTAAACACGTGTCCTACCACCAACCTACACCCAGCACTGAATTAGCATGTAAAAAAGATCAGCCTAAGAAGAATTTGGGTTATCAGATACCCATTAAAAATAACCTCCTGTCTGGCGAAATTAACCTAAAACAAGTCCTCAGACACTGTAAAAAGGAAGCTCACGGAAGAGCTCCTGCTGAGTCTGTGTAGTATTTTAAGTGAGGCGTCTGACCTGTTTGGGTCTCCAGCTCACCTACGAAACGCTACGGTAGTTTATGGCAGTCTCTGTCTCTTTCCACGCTGCACCATGTACACTGCCTCGTCAGAGACACATTAGCTTTCTGCCTGCAGTCAAGTCCAGAGACACAGGGAATAGGTGACAGGGCGGGAGGGGCAGCCGGTTTTTGAGAACATCTCTTTCCATTAGGAAAGCCGAAGCAGTGATAGCAATTAGTTAAGGCAGCAAGGTCACATCACAAAGCAAGAAGACCTGCTGTGGCCCCCAGAGCATGAAGGCTGCACAGACCATTAGATTACGGTTCCCTCAGGACGAGCAGTGACCAACCGCTCCAGTCCCATAAATTCTGACCTGAGTTATGACTGAGTTTTTGTACTCCCAGAGGCTTTGGGCCTTGGCTTTCTCCTGGTTATTCAGCAGCTGGGGTTGGGGCGCCGACCCAGAAGTCCTTGCCTCGATGAATCGTGTTGTCAGTAACCACAGCCTTTGTTGCCACCTCAGCACTCCAGTGAATGCAGGAGCTGCATTTTGTGGCCATCAAAAAGACAAAGAAAGAATATTGATTAGAAGGAATGAAAAAAGCCCCATGGTCCTTGCAGAGTCATCCCTAACTCCTTTCTGGCCCCCTGATATCCTGAGCATGGGCAGCAGGGCTCTCAGCAGTTGCCACCTGTCCTGGGCTGGGCACCAGCACATGGCTTTGTGGGCCAGCAAGCTTGCTGAGACAGGTAGGCCTTGGGGCCAACAGCGTCCTCAAGATAGTTGCCCATACAAGCAGAGCTGGCATCTCAGGAGGACAGGTAACGTGGCAGTGGCTGCACAGCAAGCTTGGCACGGTGTGAGGTCAGCTACCAACCCCTCCCAACATGTTCACCAGGCAGAACCACTGCTCTGATCTGAGGAAGCAGAACGGTCTGCTTGGTGATCCTGGGTCACACAGCTAACCAAATAAGGGTGGGGTAGATGCCTGAACCCTGTGGCCACTGGGCTGGATACTCTCCAGAGTGGGAGCCAGCAGGGACAGCTGAAGGCTTGTGAAAAGCAGATGTGGGGACCAGCACATATAGAAAGGAGAAAGCTGAGCTAGGGCCTACCCTGTTCTGCACGCCCTGCCTGTTACAGGCAGTTTGTTAGGACTTGCATCTGCTACCACTGCCCAAGACATAGTGAGAAAACAGGCCAATCCTGAGATAAACAGACCCCTCCCACAGACACTTGCTTTCACTTCCCACAACCACCTCCAGGCAGCTCACACCGGCAAAAGGAAAGCTCTGGAGAAACAAATCTCGAGAGGAGAAGTAAAGTTAGCAGGGAACAGCTGATAGATTGCATGTGATTCCAGAATACAGGCATCATCTTGATGAGGGAACCCTTCAGGGAATGTTGAAGAAGACTGGCCTGTAGCTCAGCACACCTAAGAAAGCACAGGAGGTTTGTCCTCACGGAAACAGCTGTCCGAGACCTCACATTATAATCCGCACAGAGCCGGCAATGTGGCCCCACCTCCAGCAGACACAGGACTGGGAATGTGCATGTGCAGTGCGAACCCCACCAAAGGGAGCTAGGCCTCTGAATAATAGAGAGCTATGGCCATGGAGCGGACAGAAGCATGGACATGATGACTTCTAGAATCCTCTGTTACTGTTTCCAGCAAGACATTTCCTTCCCCGGTTCCTTCAGAGTCCAGAGCAGCCTGTAGAGGAAGCAGGCAGGAGAAGGAAGGAGACTCACTCTTTACATCCCACAAGATGTCCTTCTCAGGAGAGGCTGCAAAGAAGATGAAGAGCCGGATTGTGTCAATCCCATACTGTGCCACAATCTCCTCAGGGTCCACTCCATTGTGTTTGGACTTGCTCATCTTCTCCCACGTCACCTCTAACTTCTCTTTCGTTTTTGCACAAACAGGAGCAGGGCCTAGATGACAAAATAATACTGATTCTGAATGGGTCCTGAACAGGGAGGTAAGGGGACTAGAGCTGCTCCAGGATGCCAAGGAAGTGGGCAGGGGGGAAGTCCCATATTTTGAACTGTGCTCTGAGGCCTTGTAGGAAAAGACCCTGGAAGATTCCATGCTCTGTGTCTGAGGCTCTGTCCAGCAATGGGCTGTCAACTAAAGCCAGACAAGCTAGGTACATGCGAGCAAACACTATGTCACACGGGATGGGGCTGGGTAAGAGGGATAACCAGTCCCAGAACAGCCCACAGCCAGAGCCCAACAATAGATACTGGTTTCTTAAAAGCTCTGGACCTGGCCTTGGGTCTTACCTGCCCCAGCCAGGCTGGGCTCCCTTACCTGTGAAGTCTACATCCTCCCTCCGAAGACACTGTCCAGATGGAAGGCGGAATGTCTGTCCCTTGATAAGGCCTTGGGGCAGCAGTTTACGGAAAGGTTCCCTGAAGAAAAATCATGGAAAATGAGTGTGTGTGTGTGTGTGTGTGTGTGTGTGTGTATAGCAGCCGGGACACAAGGTATCCAGAAATCAAGACTATGGACCACAACTTAAAGTAGGCTTCGCTCCTTGGATACAGAGATAACATTAAGTCATAGCAGCAGTCAAGTTTAAGCAGTTTTCCACTGAGGGGAAGTGGAGAGAGCACTGGGTCAATCCGGCAGACCCGGATCCCACCTACTTCTACCTGAGCCATGAAAGCCACTTCCTTGGTCTGGGTGTCCAGTCTGCCAACCCATGACATGGGAGCACGTGAACTTGTCTCAGGTGTTGATGGGAAAATGGACTCAAGTGACAGAATAAAAACATGAGTCACACAGTGCCAGCTGCTCATCAGACCCAGCATGGAAGGGCCCAGAGGGATTAATGACGGCTGTCTGTGTGAAGGGAGCTTATATTTCCCTTAAGATAGGCCTGCTGAGACTCTTTTAAATCTGATGAGTTAGCCAGGAATGGGCAATGTTTGGGAAAATCTAAGTATTATCTACCTGTTCTCCTTGGCCCATTTCACTGTAAGGAGGCAGCTATCAACAGCTGGAGTTACTTTTCTATCGGCATGACAAAACATGACCAAGGCAACTTATAAAAGAAAGCATTTAATTGGGCTCATGGTTCTAGAGGGTTGAAGTCCGTGACCATCATATTGGAGAGCATAGTAGCAGCCAGGCAGACATGGTGGGTCCTCCAGAGGGGCAGCCAGTGCTCTTACCTGCTAAGCCATCCACTGCCCCAGCCCTGGCCCCACACTTCCCCCCGCTCTGACAGCCGTGATGAACTTGAACTCAATCAACTAGCCTTGAACTCATAGAGGTCTGCCTGCCTCTGTCCTGGCTGCTGAGATTAAAGACATGTGCCACCACACTCACCACAATGGTTTATTCCTCAGAACAACTCATTTTCCCTGTTTTATTTTGTTTTGTAAGAATCCGCGCGATTCTATTTTGACGCATTTCAGCAAGTAGTTCCAGACACAACTCTATGGAAGTATCTCACGTTCTGAACAACAAGGGGCTTGTTCATTTACACTGCCATGGCAGACCTTCCAACATCTCAGGGAATCAGAGACCCAGCAACCTGAACTGGCCCGTCGAGCTGCAGACCAGGTTAGCCTTGCAGGTTAGTAACATAAGATCCATACTTTCTGTTCAAGGTCATCTGATTTAGGTGAGTAGTGATCCAAGTAAGTCCAACAAAGGTCCCTGTACAACAGCTGTGGGTGGAGTAGTGACAAGGAGAAGGACATTTTCTAGTAGATTAGAGAGGGCGGACAGGGCAGACGAGATTGAGAGAGATGAGGTGTGTGTCCATCCCATAATACACCATAATGTCCTCAAGGTCTAGGTCTTAAATGCATGTTCTTTCTGCCTGAGACACAGCCTGCTGCCCTGTTGTAAAATCCTTAAATGAGCATGTGTGTGTGCATATGAGCAGCACAGGCGCACACACACACACACACACACACACACACACACACACACACACACGGCTACACAGAAGCAATGGTGAGAGTTGGTGTACATTTACAAAAACAGAAAAAAACAAACAAACAAACCTCCAGTGCAGCGACAGTCAAAAACAATGCTGAGTATCATGTTTTCCAGGCCTCACGCAGTGCATTAGCTGATGTCACAGGGCCAGATGAACATGTCAGGACAGGCTGGGTGCAGAGAGACTCAAGATGAACACAAAGGAGCTAGTGCTCCACAAAGTAGGAACACTGTACCTCAATACCAAGAGGCACCTCCAATGAGCCCCACAAATCTGAGCTGTGTCCCCCAGCTGCATGTTCTTAGCACAAGTTTATCTTGTGTTTATTCAGTGTTGTTGTTACTGTCTCGGGTGCCAGCATCCCCAACAGGGTGTGAGGCTCTCTAGCTCTTCTTTCACACTGGGCATTGGTTTTCGTCACATGTAAGAGAAACTCAGGGAAGTGGAAGTGTGGGTCAGTGGTACAATACATGGGCACCACACATAAAGCCCTGGCTTTACACTCAGCACCCAAAAAATATGCCTAGAGTGAGTAAAATCAGCAGCATTAAGACTCAGGGGACTGAGCCAGGCGAGATGGTGCACACCTTTGATCCTAGCACTCAGGGAGACAGAGGCAGGTGGATCTTTGTGAATTAAAGGCCAACCTGGTCTACAAAGTGAGTCCAGAACAGCCAATGCTATACACACACACACACACACACACACACACACACACACAAAACCAACAAAACAAAACAACAACAACAACAAAACAGCCAACGCTACACAAACCCTGTATTTAAAAACCCTGTATTTAAAAACAAATAAATAAAATCAATACAACAAATCAATAAACAAAGAAAACAACTCAGGGGACTGGGTATAAGATTTCATATCTGTAACCCCAGCCACTCAGAAGGCCAAGACAGGATGATCCTGAGTGTGAGGCAAGCCTAGGCTATATATGACATTTTCTGAAAGAAAAGAAAAAAGATGTAATGGCAGGGAGTTGTAATCCTGTTATTTATTATCATCATTGAGGTTTTGTTGTTTGGTTTTGGTTTTGATATAATCAAAATATAACCCACCACTGCCACCTTCTGGGAATGTGTAGAATTGCAACTCACCAGCCAGACCCTCACCCCGGCTGTTTGTTCTACCTAAAACTGTAATCTGGCTTTTAACTCTCTCCCTCACTGTGTCTATTATTCTCTCCTCTCTCCTTCCTGTGTTTAAAGCAAACTGTCAAATCACATTGAAAAGTACACTAGTCTTGGGATGGGCACAACTTGGTGAATCAGGCCCTCTGTCTTCACTGCCACCTGACTAGTTTGACCACGACCAGAATAATTTATTTTCCTATTTCAAGACTACTTCAAAGACTTTGAGTGGGGGACCCAGGTTGTCCACACTGCCCTCTCCCTGTAAGTGGCAGGTGTGCAGTAGAACAGCAGTGTCCCAGGACCAAGGCTCTGGTAATGAAGTGTCTCAGTTTCTGAAAGTTATGCTACTAGTTCGCTAAGGTCCACCTAGCCTCTGGCTTCTCTACAGTTCACCAGGCGCTGCCTCAGACAACGGCTTAGCATAGAGATGGGGAAGGGGCTGGGAACTGGAGAGACAGCTCAGGAGTTAGGAGCACTGGCTGCCCTTTCAGAGGACCCAGTTTTGATTCTCAGCACCTATATGGAACTTCAGTATCTTTAACTCCAGTTCAGGGGGTCTGATGCCCTCTTCTGGTCTCCAGGGCACTATGCCTGAGTAGTGAACAGAAATACATGTAGACAAAACACCTATATACATAATTTAAAAAAATGGCATGAGTGCCATGGTCTGGCCAAGTGCCCCAAGGCTCCCCTGAGCCCCAGCAGCACTTGGCTTCTGAGGACTTCTCTGCCCCAATCACACAGGAAAACATGGATTGAACGAATGTGACTCTCCTGCAAAGGTGGATATGGTCGACCTCAGCCAAGAGAATGAGACTCCTGAGTCCCTTCTAAGAGCAGAAGGTGGGGGGGAGGCCAGAGAGTGAAGCTAACACAAACTGCCTGTACAGAGGTACCAGCATAAATAAGGAACCGTGACGTACAAACTTGTTGAAAATCACTATCCTCCAAAGAACAAGGAACCGTGGGAAAGAACAGCAAAAACAGTAACAACTTAGATCACAGCGACCTGAGACACAGGATTAGCTGTCATATATAAATAAGTTATATTCAATCACTTTTAGGAAATTAAGATATATTTGATACATTTAATACTTTTTATATATTTGATATATTTAAGAGACATTTATACTAAAAAGAAGGCCAGGGGAGCTAGAGAGATGCCTCAGTAGTTAGGAGAGCTCATTGCTCTTCCAGAGGACCTGGCTTTGGCTACCAGCACCTACGTGGCAGCTCACAACCTCCTGTAACTCCATTCTAGAGGATCCGAGACGCCCTGCAGTTTCTGTGGTGGGCCCCTGCACACATGTGATGCGATATACTAGAAAAGGCTCTCTCTCACCATGCACACAGATAGACAGAATTATGGAAGGGTACATGAGAGATGCCTAATATGCTAAAATGGTCTAATCAAAGTTTCCAAAGAAGAAAATTGGAGGATGGGATGAGGAAGGGACACTTAAGAAGCTCCAAATCCAAAGAAGTCCACAGCTACAGATGGTACAGGAACTTCAATACCCAAGACCATGAGGGAGGGTTGGCAGCTGTGCTTAGTGCTGTGCCACTCGAGAGGACCATCAAAAGATGGCCAGGCAGTGGTGGCGCATGCCTTCAATCCCAGCACTTGGGAGGCAGAGGCAGGAGGATCTCTGTGAGTTCAAAGCCAGCCTGGTCTACAGAATGAGTTCCAGGGCAGCCAGGCAGGTTACACAGAGAAACCCTATTTCACAAAACAAACAAACAAACAAACAAAATAAAAGTTGTTTGAATATGAAGTTGAAATGAATTTACTTTTAGAGAGAAGAATAAATACATGGACCATCAATAATAGAAACAAAAAGACATACTGAAGAATCTATTTCAGACAAAAAGAGTATTTCAGATGTTAAGATTAGAGATGAGAGGAGAGATGGTGAGGAAGGGAATTGGCTAATATGGTTTCAGTGCAATACCAAAAACACATGTCCAGTTCTCTGGAATTTGACAGGGTTGAGTCAGGGTTGAGTCTAAAAATGATAAAAGGATGTGACCGGAGCCAAATTCTCCTGAAGAAAAAGGACAAGAAGGAGGACAACAGATTTGTATATTAAAATAACAAAGGCTTTAAATAATGAACCAGCACAACAGAGAACAAGCCATCAGTGTATGGAGTCCAGATCCTGCCAGCAGGCCCTAAGGACTATGACAACTCTCAGCAACCCCTAGTCGATACAATGCACTGATTTATGATGAGGACACCACAGACCAGTGGGTAGAGGGCTAAGCCGTTCAATGATGAGACAAAGGCATGAGACGCAATAGCCATGGAAGGGAAGGTTATTTTTTTTTTTAATGGGTGGTGTTGGGTATCTATGGTCTAGTACACACTAGGCAAGTACTCTGCTGAATCCCATCTTCAACCCCAGTATTAAGTTTTACTATATTAGATTAAGGACTTCTGCTCATCAAAAAATCCTATAAATAAGAGATAAGCCAAGGATAAGAAAATATTGGCAATAGATACAATGAAAAGGAGTTAGCATAAAAAAAATCTTCAAAAATGGAGAACCCTGTATTGCTTTGGCTGTATAACCCAAGTTCTGCAATGGAAATTCCAGTCCACACATGATGCCACTCAGCAACAAAACAGAAAGAGGTAATTCCATGCATCAACCGTGCTGAATCTAAAAACATGTTGGGTGAGGAAACACTACAGAATATGTATAGTGTAATTCTAATCACAGAAGGATCAATGCAGGAAAGCCAAACCATGCCTGCTGTTCTAAAATGCCACAGAGAAATGGAACTGGGCAGTGAGATGGCTCTGCAGATAAAGATGTTTTCCATACAAGGCTCACAAACCTCATGAGTTTGAGCCCCAGAACCTAAAGGTGGAAAAGGAAACTGATTTCACAAAGTTGTCCTCTGACCTCCATATGCATGCTATGACACACATGCCTCTCCCCACAATCATACGCACATACAACAATAATAAATACAATAAAATCAGGTATGATATGTTTATAAAGAAAATAAGTAGTTAGGGTTTACTACAGGAGTTTTCTGGGGTAGGGATGGTGAGAAAGGGGTGATATAATTGGCAAGGGGCACCCTGCATGCACCAAGGCAACATACCATTCTACTTCCCATTCTGAGGTGGAAGAATGGAAGGTCATTTACTTTTTATTTTTTGGTTCTTAGAGACAGGGTCTTTCTATGCAGCCCAGGCTGGCTTCAAACCGTAATCCTTTTGCTTCAGATTCCCAAACGTATTGTATAATATATTAAATATATATTTTGTGGGGAAAAAGCATGCACATAAATCTTCAAGACAGTCTCTCTATATGGTCTAAAACTCACAATGCAGCCAAGGCTGGCCTTACGCTTGCAGCCATCCTCTTGTCTTTGCCTCCTGAGTGCTAAGACTACAAAAGATTGCCACCCTTTCATACATCTTTTGAAGGTTATGAGGAACACATTATAAGCCAATAGGAAAGACTATTAATGAATTTACAGTGCTATCTTCTGCTCCGGTACACAAATATATATATCAGAGTGACATATTAGGAAAGGGTTCAGCCGAGCTTAGAAGTAGTTTACTGACAAGGTGACAAATGTGTGAGATGCTACAAAAACCCTCACAACATCAGAACATTCCTTTCCATCACAAGTAAAAATCTCAAATGATGTAACAGACAGATGCACTGAAAGCCCCAAACATTCCACACCAAGTGATCGAGAGGTTTGTGTAAATGGACATCAAATTTTAAAGGCCTGCAACAGCCTCCAGCATATATGGAAAGCAGGGCTTTTTTATACATATATATTATCTTGATTCAGAACAGATACCTGCTTCCAGTCACTGCTTGTGAACAAAATTCTTTTGCAAAGTACTATAAATGCTCACCTGTGCTTCACCATCTTTTGATCATGGCAAAAATGACTAAAGAATCTTGCGTAGAACAAGTGCATGACAGCATGCTCTTTTCCTCCAATGTACAGATCCACAGGCATCCAGAAGTCTGCCAGTGCTGAGCTGAAAGGGCTACGAGAAAGATAAATGGGCATTTGAAAGCCTTCTTTGCCACAGCTGCATAAAGTAGACTTGTTTTAATCTGCATATGCCTGGAAAATAGTCAGTGTCAGAAAACATGACTTTCTTTTGATAAAAGGAAAAGTATGTAAGAACTGAGAAAAGGACCAGTGTTGACTGGATCCACAAGTTACCCTCTGACCTCCACGCACAGCTCATGCACATTCACACATACTAAGTAAATGTAATAAAAATCTAAGTTTTGTTGGGCACAGTGGCATACGCCTGTAACCCCAGCACTCAGGGAGGTAGAGGTAGGTGGATCTCTGTGAGTTTGAGGCCAGCCTAGTCTACAAAGTGAGTCCAGGACAGCCAGGGCCACACAGAGAAACCCTGTCTCAAAAAAACAAAACCACCCCTCTCCGCAAAAAAAGAAAGAAAGAGAAAAAAAAAATGTAATTTTTGAGACAGGTGATGGCAGTGCATACCTTTAATCCCAGCACTTGGGAGGCAAAGGCAGGCATGTCTCTGAGTTTCAAAACCAGCCTAGTATACACAGTGAGTTCTAGGACAGGCTACACAGAAAAGCCCCACCTCAAAAAAAAAAAAAAAAAAAGTAATTTTTGTATAAAACAAGGACAAGATAAAAAGATACCAGCAACAAGGAATCTTCATAGGTTTCATTTTTAGTATGTTTAGACAACTGATATTTTAAAAATTTTCACCAGTAGAGGGCAACAATAGCATCTATAATAGAAACTAGCATATTAATTGCTCATTTCAAAACAGAAATTGAATCTTACTTTTAAAAGTGCTTTGAAACAGCCAGCAAGAGTCCAAATATGGCTTACTAAAGGAATGAAATTTATCTAGAGTTTGTCATAAAACATCTCAGTAACTTCCTCATCTACCAGATGCTTCTTGACCAGCATGGATACAAAGGTCAGACTTCCTCCTATTGCTGGCGAATGTACAGAGGGGAAGGACTCTCCAGGTCTTCTTTTGTTGGCCGCTGCCTTGGGAAAGAATCACTGTAGCTGGGAGCAGACTTTGCTGTCTGAAGAAAAGTGAGGGAACCTGTGCTTTGGACAGTCTATGTTCCTGATTTTAACATGTTGGGGTTTTCTCCGCAGGGCTGTAAAGCACTTTCCCCGAGCGTGCTCTTGGCTGGCCAGTTCTGAGGCTGGGAACAGAACTGTTGCTGGCATGTTGGAAAGCCTGGCCAGGCAGTGCGCGTCCTAGCATGGGTCTCTTTCGCAGTTCCTGCAGTGCCAGTACTCTCATAAGATTAAAAACGAGAAAAGCAAAACAAAGCCACCAAATCAACCAACCAAACAAATAAATTTCCAACTACCTTTTCTTTTTTTTTCCTTATAAAAAAAACTTTTCTTAAAAAAATTTAACTGCTGCTGGACATGGTGGCAGAGACCTTTAATCCTAAAACATAGGAAGTAGAGGCAGGATGATCTTTGTGAGTTCAAGGCCAGCTGGTCTACAGAGTGAGTTTCAGTATAAACCTGGCTACACGGTGAGGCCCCTGTCTCAAATAAAAAAAATTAAAAGTAAATAAATAAATGAATTCAATTGCTGTTCCAGGCAACAGTAAAGCCCAAGTTGAGGGTGGTATTTAGCTCACAAACAAATTTGAGATAAATGAGGTTAAATGTTCAGTTTTTGTTCTGCCTAGTACACCATTCTGAAGACTCAACACACTGCTGAATCTGGGGCAGCATGCCAGGAGAAATGTGAAGCCTATGCTGTTCACAGAGGGAAGCAGCCTGAGAAGAGAAAGCCTCTCGCTCCTCCACGGCTCACATGGCACTGTTCTGGAGTTCTGGGCTCCTTGCGTCTTTCCATGTACTCAGGATCCCAATCATTTCCGAAATGGACTCAGATTATGGAACCCCAGCTCTACTGCTCTGAATGGGGCTTGAGTATCTGTCACACCAGAAATATGCTGTTGTGCTGCCAATCCAGAACAGCAGGGTGCTTTCTTTGCTTGTTTTCAACATAAGATACTGCTCTGTAGAACAAGACCCGCCGGACTTACAACCTCTTGCCTCCGCACGTGGACAGGACATCTCCTCCGTGCTCACGAGCTACCTGTTAAGATCTGTATACAGAGTGTTTGCATGGTTTTAAAGAATAGTTTTCCTTAGCTCCTAATCTAGCTTTGCTTGGCTACCTACTGCTCTTTTGTTTTTGTCTTTCGAAGAAACAGCTGGAAAGTCAAATAGCACTTGAAAGTTTTCCATGAAGAATAGTTCTCCCTGCACCTCAGGCCTGAACTGTAGCCCCGTTTTTGGACATAGGCTCGTGTGCAGCCCAGGCTGGCCCACACCTCTTGATTTCCTGTCCCTGCCCCTGGCTGCTGGGTTACACACATGTGCCAATACTCTTCCACTCTTACTTCAATGATCTTAAAATGTTTATGTTCATCACCGATTTCCACTTCAGATTTATTGACCATTGTGGGAAGAGTCTAAGCGTCTTTCTCTTCCCTGAACTTTGCCCTGTCTCTCTGCAGCCCATGACCAGGCATTCCTACAGTCCCATAGGTATAGGGTATTCACATCTTCCTTTGGCTGCTTTGTCAAGTTGTATTATAGCTGGGAATTACTAGGCTGAGTAATCTAACTTAACAATGGACAGGCTTGCTTTAAGACAGCCCTCCCCGCTGGTGTTAGGGATGGAAAGGCTCTGTCCCTCAGCCTCCCCAAACTGAGAACCAGGCATGAGGTGCACAGCTGACCAACAGCAGCCACCACTGTGGCACTGCGGTACTCCAGTCCAGCCCCTGTTCTCCAGCAGCTTCCAGGAGAAGAAAAGGCAGGCCTGGTACAAAGGTGCATCTGCCCACCTAGGGTTCTGAATGAGCGTGTGGACTGTCTTCCCACAGGACTTGCTGCGGCACTTGCAGCTCTGCTGTGGCCCAGGGCTCCTCTGAATCCTCCTCCTCCTTGTACTGTCTCTGGGTACCAGTTACACATACACACGATGTAGGGTTCTCTCTGCCAGCTCAGCTTCTCTCTATCCTGCCCAGGCGTGTCCCAGCACCTCCCTTGAATATCTAATTCCAACTTGGTTTTGCTTCATGGAGGATGCAAAGTGCTACCCGTTCCACAGTAGGGACATTACCTATGAGTATTGTGAGGGTCAGTGTATCTGAGGTAGTACCATGCTGAGTCCACAAAGGTATCCATGGTATCTGTCTCTCTCTTGGCAGCTCCCTTGCACCTGAGAAAAGAAATGTATCAATCACCTTTTTTTTCTAAATTTCAGTGCAGTTTCCCAGAAGCTGTACTTGTGTACTTCACTCCCCAAAATTTCACTTGGAGCAGCATAAGTTTGAGTGAGGGTGCTCTTGGAGAGCAGAGAAAAGAGGGATGGAATCTCCAAGAGGAACAGAGGAAGCTTCACTAAACACATTGGAGTTTGAGTCTGTTTTCAATTTAAAAATAAAAGGGGTTGTGTATCACATCTCCTATTTGTTAAGCAGTCCACACTGGCCCTATAAACAGAAGGAATCAGCCCTCCCACCCCACTTTAGCTCAGATGATTAAACAGAGCCTACACCTGTAATTTAGTCAGGAGATCTGGGCATGGTAGGGTCCCTCAGGAGAGGAGTTGTTAGAAACGCTCCAAGGGAATCTTGTGGGCCACCAGAGAAGGGCGCCAATATCCATAGTAATTCTCTAAAGTAAAGCCAGGTCTTTATTTGGATTGTATCTTATTTTGACCATAAATGTAGAGAGAATATTTTTTGTATTGTATGGATGTATCACCTGTCAATTAAAAATACCAATGGCCTATAGCAAAAGGTAGAATAAAAGGTGGGATATCAAGTGGGCAAAAAAAATTCTGGTGTGAGAGATTCTCTAGGGAAGACATGGAAGGGGACAGATGCACGGTACCTGAGCAAAGGTAACCAGCAGCATAGCAAAACTTAGATTAGAAGAAATAGGTTATTAAGTTATGAGCTAGTCAGTGAAGGAGCCTAGCAATATGGCCTAGGTATCTGTCAATATATTTTGAGTCTGAGTCATTATTCTGGGAGCTTGGGGCTAGGAGGAAAAACCCATGCAACACATAAACAATAGTCTGGGAAGTAACTAGAGGGTAAGGCACCTCCTCTTCCTTGCCCAACTTGGGAAAATAGAGGCCCACTATACAGAAGCAATGACATCCAACTGACACTGTTCGTTTCCGTTAATGTCTCCATGGGCTTGCAGACAGCTAGGTGCTACCAGTGACACCACACCCTGGTTGGTAGGAAAGCGGTGCTTTGGCAGACGATGTGCATAAGGTCACCAGGTTGGGCTAGGTAGTATCAGCACAATGTGGGGCAGCAGAACTGGACCAAAGGTGTCACAGATGCTGTATCATTGGGTTCCCAGAACACCAGGAATTATGAGACAGACTACTCCACCCCACTGTACAGGAGAGCGGTGAGGTTTCAGAGGCTCGGAAATAGACACAAGTCCTTAAAACTCAAAACAAATGTACAAAGAACCCTCAGCTGCTAGACCCAAGGCCACTGTCTATACCTCCATGTTGTCCTACTTGGTTTCACTGGCTTGGTGGTTCAGTCCTAGACTCACTCAGCGAGAGAAGCCAGTGCTCAGGCCTGGGCTCTGACCTCCAGAAATTCTGTAGTCCTGTTAAGAAGCCACAGTCCCACACAGGCTGCAATGTTGTGCTGAATGTGAACACTCCTTCACAAAAGCCAAAGAGGAAAACAGTGGCTTGATGTTAGTCAGTTAATAACAGCCTCATGAAAATCATACTTGAGGCACTCTACTGAACTGTTAGAAAAACCTAATCTCACTCTAAAGTGTAGAGAGAGGAAAGAAAGTTGATGTGTTTCAGCAAGGCAAAGAATAAACATACTTTCCCATACTCTATGATTTGTGCTAAGACCTCCACAGCTATCACAAGGTCTGCACAGGGAAACTGTCACGGGGGAGAAATACCCTTTCTCACTTGTAGGAAACTCTGTGGAGTAGAAATGGCAGACCATGCAATATGATGAGAATCAATGTCTTCCCTCCATGGGATCAATGTTTCAGGATCATCTACGATGATTAGGCCAGAATATAGACTGTTGTCTCAAAGGTTCCAAAATGCCTTTGATAGTTCTTTTAGGCTGGTGAAGGCAGTATTCAGCACCCAGTGAGGACAGGGCATCCAAAACACCTCTGGGTGCTGGTGGTAGCTCCTTACCTTGGGCAGGGGCAGTTCACCCACTCCAAAGCGGAGGCCAGTGGGGAGCCTCCTTTGCCAGTGAAAGATGTGATGTTGGGCAAAGTCACAGGCAAGTCTTGCAGCGGCACAGGCACAGAGCCACAGGTTGGGCAGTGGACAATAGGGATCGGTGTGCCCCAGTAGCGCTGCCGCGAGATCAGCCAGTCTTTCAGCTTGTTACTGGTCACATCTCCACCCACTCTCAGCGCACGGGCTTTCTGAGTCAGGGCTATAAAAGCATCTTTCCGGGTCATACCTGTAAACTGGAAGTAAGGACAGGCAGCTCTCCACCTACTCAGCACCAGTGTGAGACTCTCAGAAGGGCCTAGCTCTGTGTAGGGCCACATCAGGGCTCCCCCAAGCTCTGGATGCATTTATCTTTATAGGTCCTTTTTCTTAATTAAAAAAAAAATCACATTTACAATTGCACTGATAGAAAACCAAAGATGATTTTTGATCCTAAAAGTTCGAGGTTTTATTGTTGTTGCTGTTAATTTAAAAATTATTTAGAACTAGAATTACAGATGGTTGCAAGCTGCCATGTAGGTGTTGAGTATTGAACTTGGGTCCCCTGGATAACAGTATTCTCAACTGCTGAGCAATTTCTCCAGCTCTACTTCTAAATTTTAAAGATATTAAAATATTTCCAGGAACCTTGAGAAACAACATTGACCAGGGGCACTGTGCCTACTGTGTGTGGTAGGCAGCTGACCCTGTTTCAGTGGCCCTTCCTTTCTGCCACGTTCTATAATACCTGAAGAGATAATCACTATCAGTGTCTAGCTACCAGTGAAGAGATGCATGATATGAATTTTCCCTTTTAGAGAGAAAAATACCCAGAGAGAAAAAATTCAATGTCATATCTTAAACATGGAACACTATCTGCCTCAGCTTGAAGAAACAAACCATTGTTGTATCTACTTCACTGATGCTCTCCAGAGGCCAAACTAATTGGATGAAGTGAGCCATAGGCTTTCTAACATTCAGAATGTGGGCGCCTGGGATCAGTCCTGCTGTATGCCAGGCCTCAGAGACACAAAGATAAATGTAATCTGCTCATGCTCTCAAGGAGCTCACATGCACAAGACATGTCATAAAAAGAGAGTTCAGCTGTGTTTAAAAAAGAAACTCCTCTTACTACCAGTGTGAAGAGTTTTTTGTAAGCAGGTGGCTGTGCTCAGGAGAGAGGTTCTGCAGTCTATACTCCTGACATTATATAGTTACAATACGAAAATAACAAGCTCTCTTCCAAGTCCATCTTCTCATGCACCACTGTGCATGCTCAAGAAGCTCATGAAGCCTTGCACAAGACTTCTCCAACTCCTTCCTGACAGCATTTGGCTGAGCATTCAGCAATGAGCTAGCAGTTGACTCAACGACTACCTGAAGCTATCTGAAAGCAAAGAGGATAAACAAGACTTGAAGTTCCATGCAGAGGGATGGGCGTCTTCTAGGCCCCAGAGAAACAGCCTAGTTTTGGCCATGGAACCCCCTTCCTCACTTTCCAGAGCTGGGGCTCCCTTGGAGATACCCATGGTTAGCTCTGTCCTACCCCCAGTAGGCCTGCACAAATGAAGGCCAAGAAAAAAAGGGTCTTAATATCTTAGAACACGGTTTATGTTTGGAAACACAAACATGAAGTCAGGAACTATTTCTCTTTTTAAAGGGGGAGAGGGAGCCTGGTCATTATTCTCTTGTAGTTAGAAAAATAGATAGATGATTGGTAAACAGATAGATGACAGATAGGTAGATAGATAAATAGATGAAGACATAGATACAGACAGATAGAAAGAAAGACAGAAAGACAGGATACCTGTTGTAAACATGTTTTTTGTTTTGATCCCAGGTGTAGGAATTGGGACTAATTCAGACTGTCCACATCAGCAAACTATTTGCCTCATGTGGACTCTGAGAGGGACCCTTTGCCAGCTGCAGATAGTGTAATCCTGAGGACTATGAGAGGGCACAAAGGCCAGAGCACAGAGGGGACTCTGAGAAGGGAGAAGGCTGCTGATGCTCCCCTCTGCTGTTCCTGTTGCTGTTGATGCAGTGTGACGAGAAGTTATTCTAAAACAAAGACCCTAAAAGGCAGGAAGCAGCCTAAGAGAACTACAGCCCCTCTCCCACTAACTTCCTTTCTCTCCTACCTGTTATTGGGGTTTTGGAAGGGACTGGCGTGGAGAAGGGAGGAAGAGGTACGAGAAACACAAATAAAAGTTTTTAAAAGGGCACACATATACCTTATAGCCGAGTGGTCCCAAACCTGAACCTTCTGGGTCTTCAGGTAGCATAGAACCAGACAGAACCAGAATGGGGGTGGGGGTGGCGACCAGTAGGTGATTTTCCATGATTCATAATTGGACATGTGTGGGACTGACAGTTCCCAGATTAGAGCTTATGTTCAAATCTCCTGGGGAACTTAACTATTCCTGATGTCTACTAATCATACCTTCACTATCATTCATCATTAGGCTGAAACATCTGGAGTAAGACGCAACCTTCTGATTGTTCTTTTATTTATTTTGTCTCTTGAGACAGAGTCTCACATAGCCCAGGTTGGACTCCAACTCTATGTAACCCAGAATAGACTTGAACTCCTGGCCTTCCTGTCTCACTTCCCAAATGTTAGGATTATAGCTGTGCATCACCACACATCTTGCTCAAACACCAATATTTGAAAACACTTTCCTGGTGTTTATACCATGTTGTCAAGTTTACAAATGAACACTGTAAGCCAATGCCCTCAAGTTTTAATGTATATAGAAATCTCTCAAAGCCCTTGTGTGACTAAGGTAGGGTTGGGAGTCCACATTCCCAACAGTGATGCCAGAGCCATTGACCTAGGGACCAGGCTCTAGGCCAGTGAAGCTCAACAGTGGTCCCTGCACCAGCACCACCACCAGGACCACCAACAGTACTAGTGCCAGTACCAGCACCACCAGCACCAGAACCAACACCACCAACACCAAGCAAATTTGCTGGAAACGGAGACTCTTGAGAAGAGTCATATCTCTGGATATGGATTGCTAGCCAGTGTTTCAACAGGGCTAGCATGATTCTGATGCTCAAGTTTAAGACTCACAGCTTTAAGCCACTTCCCACTTTAGCCTCCCACCCCCAAACAGCCTCTTCCACCACACTTGCTGGCTCATGTAGCTCGTCTTTGCTACTTTGTAGGTTCTTCTTTTTTCCCACTCTTTATCCAACCTCAGCAGATCCACTCAGTCTCTCTGTGCCATCTGGTGAAGTTTCAATGACTTCAGAGTAGGGCAGGCCCAGGGCTTGGGCTAGCCTGGTGTCCTCTGAGCTGGTACTGGGGATTCCTGTTCAGAGGGGAAAACCAAAAAACATTATCTCTTCTTAAGTGCTCAAAGCACAGCACCATGCAACACAGATACGCGGTGTGAGCTTCCTAGAAGAGCTAGTCCCTTTAGTTCAAAAGCCACGTCAACTCATTGGATAATGGGACACAGCCTTAGATGCCCTAACACAACTGTTCATATTGTTGGAATTGTTTCCTTTAGGTCTTTTTCTCTGGTTCTTTTTCTTAAAAACATAGTTGTAACCCTAAGATCTTTCATCTATGCCATGAAAAGTGTGTATGACAGGTTTGAGGAGAGCCTCTTGAATCCCCCCAGTGGCTCCTGCTTGCAAGTAGTGCTGTCTGCTTCAGCATTTTAATACCCTAGGAAGATCCCCCAAGTCTGGACACTGAGAGCTGGTGCTGGAGACTGCGCTGTGTCCCCAAGAACACCACAACATTCTCAACAGACACTTATTCTTCAGCTCACACATATCCTTGAGGAAATGAGGTGGGCACAAGAAAACCACTCACCCAGAGGGTGAGTGAGACCTGTTGTCCCGGCTTTATCTGTGCATGGAAGTGGCGCTGGAGGCTGGTTCTTTAGGACAGGGTTTTGAATGCGGTACTGCTGACATAACAGGCTGTTCTGAGCATGGGAGCTCAGGGAGCATCCTACCTATTCTGGCCCCTTTCTAGACCACTTCCTCAGTGGGGACAAACAAAATACCTCCCAAATACCTCCTGGTGCTGACACCTCTTTCATGGAAAGCGCTGCATGAGTGTGGCTAAGGCAGCTCTTCTGCAAAACAGTTCCAGAGGGTTGGCTTAAGGTGCAGAGGACATGTCTGAAAATTCTATAGTATGGTACAAAGCTCTGTGTGTCCAACTGAATTGTGACAGAAGACATAAGTAAAGCAAATAAATCTCCTTTGTGCGAGAACTTCTGGGGTGTCCTGAGCCAATATTGGTTCCTTTCAGTGACCACCACATTTATCTGGACACATTAAGAGTACTGGAAAAATGTGACATAATCAAACTGTGCAGGTAGGATAGTGAAAATTCTGCTTTATTTCTTATTTGTTTTTGCTTCTATCCTTAGAAGGCAAGAAACAGTACTTTAACTCCTTCAGAACCTTAATATTTTGTCAGTGATTTAGCCTAAAATATCAAACACCCCCTGCCTGCCCCAAATGGTCAAATCAAGATTTTCTTCACTGTTTACTCTGGCTGCTGCTTTAAACATCTTACTAATTATAAAATGCATGGTGGTAATGCTCTGAAGTGACCTGAGTGCTCAGTGCCAGCTTTCTGCTTTGACAACTCTTCATCAAAACTGACCTGAGGTCATTTTAATACAAAATGTTATTGCTGCAGCATAGAAAGTATGGTTGCCACAAAGGCCTGCTGCTCTGCAGTGTGGCTGGGCCCTCCCACAAGAAGGCAGGTAAGGGAGGTGAGTCTACATGTCCTGAAGGCAAATTTTGGACAGGGTTGTCAGGAGGTACTTATCCTAGTTTCCTGACCCAGGATAAAGATGAGGATTACTCACTAATAAGCAATAATAAATGGCTGCTGAAGACAACTGATTTTGCCTCTCATGATGACTCTGTGTCCTGCTCCATGACCCTTTCTTGAGTGGCTCCTATCAGCCTCCACACAGTGCCAAATCCTAGCCCGCATGGATCACACATGCTTGGAGCTCTGCACTTGCTGGTAGTTTTACGAATTTCATTTGGTTTGGTTAGGTTTTGTAAGATAGAAACTTAATATATAGACTAGGCTGGCCTGAAACTAAAGATCTTCCTGCCTCAGGCTCCTCAAAACTGAGACAAGAGGCCTGAATCACTAAGCTTGGCTTGGATTGTGAAATCAGAGTTTTAGTCTGTGGCAGCTTGAGCAGCCAGCACTTTCGCACACTGACCTGCCGCAGCCACCCCCCAACATGCTTTCAGATACATGGTTTGCTTTGGTTTTGGTTGTTATTGTTGCTTGAATGCTTCCTTTTGTTTTCTTTTCTTTTTTTTCTCCTTTTTAAAGATTTGTGTATTATTTTCTTTTTTAGATCTACATACATTTTTTTCTAATTTAATTTTTATTTATTTATTTTTAAACAGACCCTTTCCTTTTTTTTTAAGATTTATTTATTTATTATGTATGCAATGTGTGTTTGCATGTACACCTGCACACCAGAAGAGGGCACCAGATTTCATTTGGTTGTGAGCCATCATGTGGTTGCTGGGAACTGAACTCATGACCTCTGGAAGAGCAGCCAATGCTCTTAACCTCTGAGCCATCTCTCCAGCACCCTTTTTTTATTTCATTAATTACAGTTTATCCACTTTGTATTCCAGCTGTAGCCCCCTCCCCCATTCCCTTCCAATCCCACCCTCCCTCCCTCTTTTTCTCCTATGGCCCTCCCCCAGTCCAATGATAGGGGAGGTCCTCCTCCCCTTCCATCTGATCCTAGTCTATCAGGTCTCATCAGGAGTGGCTTCTTTGTCTTCCTCTGTGGACTGGTAAGGCTGCTCCTCCTTCAGGTGGAGGTGATCCAAGAGCCAGCCCATGAGTTCATGTCAGAGATGTTCCCTGGTCCTATTACTGGAGGACCCTCTTGCATACTGAGCTGCCTTGGGCTACTTCTATGCAGGGGTTCTAAGTTATCTTCTTGTATGGTCCTTGTTTGGAGTATCTGTCTCAGAAAAGACCCCTCTGCCCAGATATTTTGGTTCTATTGCTCCTTTTGTGGAGCTCCTGTCTCCTGCAGGTCTTTTTATCTCCCCCCTCTTTCATAAGATTCCCTGCACTCTATCCAAAGTTTGGCTATGAGTCTGATACCCTGCTGGGTGAAGTCTTTCAGAGGCTGTTTGTTTTCCTTTTGTTTTTTTAAAGATGTGACTTTACTATGTTTTCTAGGCTGACTGGAGAGGTGGCAGCAGTAAAAAAAAAATAAAGAATAAAAGTAAACTGTTTTTTTATAGAGGGCCTAGGTTCAGTTCCCAACACCCACATGATAGCTCACAAACATTTGCAGCTCCAGTTCCGGGAGATCTGATTACTTCTTCTGACCTCCACAGGTACAAGGCACACACATACATGCAGGCAAAACACTCATACACAAAAATATTCATTAAAAAATTTAAACTTGTGATCTTCCCACATCAGGCTCCTGAATGCTAGGAATTCAGGTGTGTCTACTGTGCTCTTGAATATGAAGTTCTTAACTAAATCATGATTCATGGAAGGGGAGGTCTGGGGGTTTGGCTCAGGGTAGAATGCTTTGCTAGAAATGTGTGGAACACTAGATTTGATCCTCAGCTTCAAAGAGAAGATGAAAAAAAGGGGGCACAAATTTTCATTAAGGGCAATATCTATCACAGAAATCAATAGTAAACTCCTCCGAGTAACAGCAAGAACTGTGAGCCCTTTGCCCTTAACCCTGCAGAATTTATTAGCATGGACGACATCTAAACAGCCACATACCTATTTTTGGATCTAGAGAGCCTTCCAAGTCAGACTCAGCCGTGATGACGAGGGGAACCTCCTGCAGGGTGAGCATGTTCACAGCTATCACTGGCGTGAGGCAATCTGAAAACAAGAGCAGATCCGTCAGCCAGACACATCCAAGAACAGACAGGCAAGAAAAAGCAGTGTAACATCTTCCATACTGTGTGCTAATTGCTAAAGAACCGGTCCTTTGAAGAGCATTAGCAGATAATTTACACCAGTGAAAATCAAAGATTAAACAAGTACAGGAGAAAAGTTTTGTTCACGTGCATACACAAGCAAAGAAGTGAGAGGGGTGTTTCCCCAAGTTTCAGATAGAAAGCCATCTCATCACCACTTTTCATGTTCAAAAATATCTCCAGCAGTGAGAATAATAAAACACACAAAACCTTCCTATAGTGAAAAGAGGAGACATGAACTTCTAAAGCAAACAGATGATGATCTGGCTAGCAAGCCGAAAACAGCAGAGCAGAAAGGAAGAGATTTTCTGACATCCAAAGATAGAACAGTCCTTCCCCTTTCCTTAGGAGATACTGGGTGTGTGTTCTTCCAGTATCAGGTCTAATAGAAAGAGGGACAGGTGTAGAGCCCAGGAAACAGGGACCCAACAAAGAAAAGCCACAAGAACATTCAACAAAGAAAAGCCACAAGAACATTCGAGGAAGAAGTAAGAGGGAACGTTAAATATGCAGCTGAGGCCAGGAGGATCAGGCCAAGTCAGATATGAACTAAACAGCGTCTGGAGTATCTTTAGGAAAATGAGGAAACTGACAAGATTGTTTAAAGGCTGGAATTTGGAGAAAACTGTATCAAGAGTTTTAAAGAGCTATAAAGAGTATGGGAAAATTCTGCCAGAAATTCAAAGAACACAAAGCAAATGAGAGAAACAGAGAGACACACATGGAGAAAGAGTCTGAATTTTAGAAAAAAATTAAAAGTTACATGAGAGCTGGGCAGTGGTGGCACACGCCTTGAATCCCAGTGCTTGGGAGGCAGAGGCAGGTGGATCTCTTGTGATTTTGAGGCCAGCCTGGTCTACAGAGTGAGTTCCAAGACAGACAGGGCTGTTATACAGAGAAACCCTGCCTTGAAAAAAAAAAAAAGTTACATAATAATGAGAAGGTAAAGCTGGGCCTGGTGGTGAATGTCCATAATCCCAGCAATCTGAAGGCTGGAGCAGGATTGTGAATTTGAGGGTATCCTGGGCTATATAGTGACTTCTAGATTAGCCTGGGCTACACAGCAAGAGCCTGCTTGAAAAAATAAGCAAATAATCAAATAAACAGTACAGTGTAATCACAGAATACACAACCCAGTTATGTATACTTATGACGCAAATGACTTTCAGTTTACCCAATCACTGTATTATCATGAATGATGTTCACTACAGGACAGAAGCAGGGAAAGGGTCATACATGTAGACATTATCAATGAATATGTGGACCAGAAGTATAAATACCCAAATTCCAGAGGAAATAAAGAGGCACAAGAAAAGTGCTCTAGTTTGCCTGTGCTTACAACCTCACCATAATAAGAGCTGCCACTGGCTGGCCTTTGTAACCTGCACTTACAGACACCTGTTTCAGACTTCCACAGAGTCATCTAGAACAGATTCTATAAGCCCTCAACTTAAAATCGGCCCAAGAATTAGGATTTACATTTCAAAGGGGTAAAGGCGGGGCCTAGGAGGAAGGCAGACATTTAGCTTGAGGCCCAGCAGCACTCTGGACTCAGTTGTTAAGCCCCTGTTGAGCCTACATCTCCAAGCAGGCATCTGTGTTTCTGACTCCATGCTGCCTTTCTCAATGAGGAAATATGTGTTTGCAAATTCTGCGGTTATGGGTGGCATTACTTGTAAAGGGGAGGTAAGGGGGCAGAATAAGGGCAAAGTCATCAGGTGATAGCTAATGTGGAGAACAGAGAGCGGTGCAGACACAGGCCTGTCAGGAAAATAGCATTGGGTGTCAGCTACCAGCTGGCCATTCCATCTGCCTCCTCCAATGACTCAGCAACAGAACACGTCCTTGGCTACACAGTAAACAACAACATTGTCCCACCTCCTTTGCAGCTACGGCCATGGGCTATATGCAGAAGCAACTTCCAAGCCAGGCCCTTACAGGGAAAAGGCAAGCTGGGCACGGTATTGCACACTTGCATTCCCTGCATCTGGAGGACAGGCCATAACAGCCTTTGTGACCTAGTGAGTCCTAGGCCAGCCAGCACTATGTAACCCAGAGCCTACCTAAAAGCGGAAAAAGGTAGGCCTTTCTCCCCAAGAACTGCTCCTCTTTAATGGAGACAGCCAACATGTAGGGCAGCTTGAAAAACTCTAGGGGAACAGATCAGGGACACAGACAGAATACTGGCTCCTACGCTTCACATCATAGGCTTCTCAAAACCAATCAGCTTATAAAGGCAAGAAAGAAACACCTGTTTATCCAGATTGTGTCATGCTACCAAGTAACAAACACCTAAAAAATTACAAGAGGCTACACAGGAGGCTACTGTTGGCTACAGTTATACTGCTAGTATTCTTTCACCTAGTTACAGGATATTTGATCCCATTGTGAACCCCAAAATTGTGAACTGAAACCCCCCTCTTTTTTTAGTTTGGTGTAGTTGAGCCCTATCACATACCTTTAATCCAAGGACTTTTCATTGTAAACCGGTTCTAGCACATACCTTTAATCCAAGCGCTTTCTGTACACAGAATTTAATAAAGTGAACCCAAGGTCAGCTGACAGGGATTAAAGAGTAGGAGGGACTTTGAGTTGAGGGCATTTAAAACAGCATGGAGAAGTAGAAAAGAGCTTTTAGCTTAAGCTCTGGCTTTGGCTTAGGCTTCAGCTCCTCAGCTCCCAGGCTTTTGGGGCTTTGAGATAGTAAGCTTTTGGCCTTGGGTGTTTTTTCTGGCTTTTTCCTCCTAGGCTGACAGTTGAGCTAGTGAGACTCTGGGTTTTTTCCATCTTGACCTGAGCTGAGAAGGAAGGTCAGCTGGGTGCTTTCTCTGCCTCTCTAAGATAGCAGGTTTTCACCCCAGCATCTGGCTCCTGAGTCTTTCTTGGTAAAAGAGAACAGTTGGGATTTTCATTTTTGTCTTTAACAACAACACTTTTCATATACTACAAGTATGTTAATTGTGTGTGTGTAGATGGAGATGGAACTCAGGATTCTACCACTAAACTTCAGCGTGTCTTATCACTTAGACTATCTTCTTTTAAAATCTATTTCTAGGGAGCTAGAGAAATGGCTCAGTAGTTCACAGTTGCTGCTCTTCTACAGGAACTGAGCTCAGTTCCAGTATGCCGCAATGCAGCTCATATAACGCCTGTGACTGGAGCTTCACAGATCTAACACCCCTTCTTACCTCTGAAGGAATCCCCCTAACCCCCACCAATGGCACACACAGAGACACACACACTTTAAAAAATCAGTTATTAAAAGGATAAAATCAATCTTAAACGTTTTTCATTTCACACTGGTAAATTAGAAAAAACTTTAGGGGTACCACCTGCTGGTGAGGCTGTAGGAAGACTCACTGCCACTGGCTATGGCACCGTGAAATGATAAATCCCCCAGAAGCCAAGAAAAGCAACATAGGATGGAGCTAGAAAAAACATTATAGCTTTGGGGAAAATAATTCCATCTTGGGCATGTCTCCTCAGAAAAATTTTATGAAAGCAAAAGCCTTATGGACATAAATGTTCACAAGAGCTGTCTTCTTTAAACACACACTTACTTTTCCTGCTTTTTTCTTCTGGTTGGGGTCAAACCCAGTGCCTTGTAGACGTTGGGCACTACCTGTCTAGCAACCTGCACTGAGCTACATTCTAGCCCTACAGTAGCATCACCATTACACACACACACACACACACACACACACACACACACACACACACACGTAGTTGCTGGATGGCATGATACGCATCTGTGACATCACTGGGAGGCTAAAGGATCAGCATGGCAAGTCTGAGGCCAGTCTTGGGTTACACAGACTAACCTCATCTCCAAAAGAGGAGAAAGGTGCTGCAGGATATTTGATCCCATTGTGAACCCCGAGATTGTGAACTGTAAAAACCTGTTTCTTGTTTGGTGTGGCTAGTCCTAGCACACATCTTTAATCCAAAAGCTCTTGGTAAACAGGATTAAATAAAGTTAACCTTACGTCAAGAGGGTGCAAGTAATCAGCTAACAGGGAGTAAACAGAAAGGACTGACTTTGGGTTGAAGGGTATTTAAGACAACATGGAGAAGAAAAAAGGACTTTTGACTTTTGGCTTTTTCCCGAACTGAGTAGAAAGGCTTTTCCTCTTGGGCTGTCAGCAGAGTAGTAAGGTCAGCTGGGTGCTTTCTTTGTCTCTCTGAGCTAGTAGGTTTTCACCTCAGCATCTGGCTCCTGAGTCATTATTGGTAAAATCCAACAATTGGGATTTTGTTTCTAAAACAACATTGTGGCAATCCAACTTGTGGCAAGACCCAATGGACAGAGAGATCATTCCAGCTGTGGACAAAATGAAAACTATCAGATTCAGTAAGTCATCTGGGAAGTCCTCAGCAGAGAGTTAAGGCTGGGAAGTATCATAATTGAAGACCTTAGGACCCTGTATAGTGCTACTCCAAATGGCTTGAAAATAGAAGAAGTAAAGGAAAAGCTAAATAACTTAACTGAAATGGTCTCAATACAAATTATGATTATCATTTGGGTATTTTATATGTTATCCTTACTAGGCATAGTGACTTTCTGTACCTGGCTCCTGGAAAAAAAAATACAGGAAAAAGAAAAACACAAATGGTGGATTGATAAGATACAAGCCTTAGGAAGAAAATTAGAGAGAAATACATAAAAGTGAGAAAAATATTCAAACATAGGCAGAGAAATTTAGAAAAGCCTTAGAAAGACTTTTACAAATGAGAATAAGAAAAAAATACTCAGACACAGATGAAGGCATTTAGACAAGTCTTAGAAAGACCTATAAATGAGAATAAGAAAAATTCTTAAACAGAAAGAGAAAGCCACCATGGAACTGCATAATGAAACTGGAAGGCAGCGACCTAAATGGTTAGAAAACTAGCCTTAGTATA